AGTTACTTAAAACTTATATATTAACTTTGTACTGTTTGTGTTAAAAGAAACTACTGTTTGCACTAAGGGTTTAGAAATGAGTTGTTAGTAATGAAAATGTAAACTGAACAAAGGATTGGAAGAACTAAACATTCTCATTGATCTCTTGGATATGTATATATATACAGGGACTAGGTGTCTTGGACAGGCATCTATTCGCAAGACACCCTCTCCGAATGGTGGCAACTGTTCACAACTGCATGCTCAAAGGGCATGCCCGTTTGGTGACAAAATATTCGTCCAATCCTAATCGCAATCTTTGAATCAATGGATGAGATCATCTCTAGGAAAAGACGTCAATTAGAGAGGCATCGTTTCATAACATGTCACCTTGATCAAATCTTCTATGAGATCAATGTAGCTTGCAAAATCATGTGGTATAAAACTCATTTGAATCTTATAGGAAAATAAAAAGAAAATAATCATGACATATAAAAGGTGTGATATGAAAATCACTCTGGACCTTTGCAAGATGTATGATCGGGTGGACTAACAATTCCCTGAAAAGGTTTAACCATCTATTATGGGGTGCATCCTTCCCCCCATCTACGTTCTAGTGCACTCTTCCTAGTTGACGGATAACGGAGGACCGATTTCCGTCCATCAAGAAAGGCTTTGGAAAAAGAATGGAAGAATGCACCTACAGTACCTGCTGACGTCTAGCAATCACCTTGAATCCAGGAATTAACAAATCAGACCAAATCAAATAGTAAATATCACAATAACTTGCAAGTAACAAAGACACCATGATTTTAAAACGAGTTCCAATAATCCATTCAGATGCATGCACATGTACATATGAACATTACAAACTGAAACAAACAAATACTACAAAAAACTGAGATCCATTAACGATCCATTGTCTTAATTAGATAGTACTAAAAAGATCAGTGACTTGTTCGTTTGGTTATATTTGCTTATAAGCCATGATTTATCAGCCAATGAACATTATTTTTCTTTCACGCCAAACTAACCAACAATACTTTCAGCCATAACTTATAAGCCAAACCAGCCCAAACAAACAGGGTGCAGATCATAACAATCCTAGAGTAGCTGATAGTGCTACCCAGACAGGGTCTAGCCGAAAAAGGTTTGTACCATCTATTAGCAGCAGCAGCAGCAGCAGCGTGTTTGTACAGGTCAGTCAATGCATGGCAATCAGCATTGACAGGGGAGGCAAGAAATAGCGGAACTGAGCAGTGCTATCCCAGTGTAGCATCATCTGGGCGGCGCAGCCTGGCCACACCCACAGGTTCTCATGCATGTCGTATATCGCCTGTATGCAGTCGCTGAGCTCCTCGAGCGTATAGCCTGCATCCACCGGCACCGCCGTCGAATAGTACAGGGCCGTCCTCGCCAGCAAGATCGCCGACGCGGCCACGGCGGATGGCAGGAACGCCACACACCTGTAGTCCAGCAACGCCATGTCGGCCAGGTGATTCGCCAGGGCCCTGATCACCTCCTCCTCCTGGCTGTGCCTCATGAAGTGCTCGACGAACGTGTAGGCCGTGGGTCCGCTCAGGCGGTAGCCGAGCACGGCAACCAGCTCGCGCTCCTGGTCGACAGCCTCGCTTCGGGTGCACCCAGCGTACATGGCGACGTGGTCGGAGTTGATCTTCAGCACGGTGTTCCTGTCCTCGTACTTGGCCGCCGCGAAGACGGCTGCGGCGCCGAGGAGGCAAATCTGGCGCTCGTCGCGGTTGATCTTCTTGGCCGACAGGAACCGGTCGACGAAGGAGACTGCGCGGTGGAACGCTCCCGGGGCGAGGTCGTAGTGTGTGGAGAAGCGATGCATCTTGTCGATGATGTCGGCGCGGTCCATCATCATCATCTCCCCTCCCTGTCGATCGCTGAGGTAGTCTGGCGAGGGACGTTCCATGGCCTCTGTCTCCATGGTCCGGAACGTGGCGTCGATGTCGGCGTCGTAGTCGTACTGCAGCGGCTGCTTCATCTTGGGCGACGTCTTGATGGTGACCACATCGGCCTCGGTGGCATCGTCGCCGTAGCTGAGCGGCGCTGCAAGCACCACCGCTGCTGCTGGTGTCCTTGGGGAGCCGTCAGAAGCATCCACCGGCATCGAAGCAAAGCCGGCGGCTGGGATCCGAACGCTCCGAATACCGTGGAGAACGGCCTGGAAGTCGCTGTCCTCGTAGTCATAGTGATAGTTGTGTCGCCGAGACCGCGCAAGAAACTCCGGGGGCGGCATCGGCAGGTCCGCGGCGGCGGGGGTGCGATGGCGCACGACGGCGTGTATGTCCCGAAGCAACGCGTCGATGTCGGCGTCATCGTCCACGCCATAGTCGCACCAGCGCAGCGCGGCAGGAGCGACCTCTGCGTGCGTGGCCATCGTCGTCCTCTTCATCATGTCTGCGCCGGCGAGGCTGGGAAGGACGAAAGGAGCTACGGTGCACATGGTGGAGATCGCAGGAAGCTAGCAAGCGGTCTTGGCAGAGAACTAGGCGCCTAAACCCTAGAGATGGAGATCAGAGAGGTGGAGAACAAGAGCAAGACAGGCGACGACGGGAGGGAAGGTCGGTGGCCTGCCCCCACTATTTATCGTAACGATGCACAAGATCATAGCTCGATCGGTGGCTGCTTCCCCATGCATGTCCGAAGTCGAAATGGTAACAGGAACCGTACGTACGTACGATGCACGCGAATTTGCGGTGGTGTCGTTAACGATACGGCTTAGCTAACCGAGATGGTTTCCGATCCGATGCAGAGTAGGCCGTTCATTTTGTTTCTGATGATTCAGTTGAACTAGAAGCACGGACGCCGCGGGGCAGAGGGAAAGGAGGGGGCGTCCCCGTCTGGTCTGGAGCAGCGGCGAGGCGAGGAAGGAGCCGGAACGCCGACGGCCGTCGGCCGGCACCCCGGCCGATCACCGATGCGTCCGAAGCAAGGGAGAGGACAGCGAAAGCGTCTCGATGGCCTCGATAAGGCAACAGACGCGGATCATACAGAAGAGGAGCCCACGAAAAATGATCGAGGGGTCTTTAGATAACTACAGTACGAGGAGAGAGCTCCGGCCGACGATCGCTGGATTTCGGTCTTTTCATCCACGTCCACCCAAAAGTAGGAGAGATTGCTCGCGTCGCGCTGTCAAGCTGACCGGCGGGCGAGAAGAAGGCACATGCATGCAGTTTCGGGCAACGCAGAGGAAGAGGAAGCAGAGGCAGAGGTTGACATTTGGAGCCAGAGTTGTGCAGACTTGCCCAAAGTGCCCCGGCCAAATAAATGGGATCACCAGGAGCAGCCTACCCTACCCAAAGACTGACTCAATGGGATCTAGAACAAATGAAGAAGCAACAAGCTGAAGAGATGAGTAGAACGCTATTCAGTTTTGCTAAGCATGAAGTGGTTGAGGATCATGAGCTTGAAGAGGCAGCCATGGCGTTGGACGAAGCCTTGAGCCGTATCCCGAGAGAGGTGGAATTGGGGAAGAAGATGGTGCCCGCGGCACAGGGTGGGAACAGAAATGGACCAACCCAGCCAGCGGAGAAACCGGACCCAAACTTTGGGAGAACAATCATTCATTTTGTTTTTTTTTTTTGAACTTCATTCATTTTGTTTCTGATTAGGTTGAAACCATTTCCTGTCCCAGTGCAAATTGCTAACTAAAACCTCTAGGACACGCTGACCCCGGCCGGCTCTAACGCCTATAAAATATTGGCAAATTAATATTTGCAGCAAGATTTTGAGGAGTATCGTATAGCCGAGCAGGTTCAGAATCTATTATGCACGTGTTTGCTATTCATAGACTATGTAGTCAGTATAAAACATTGGGATGCATGTTATGTTGGATTGCGCAAATCCAATATAGAGTCAGTTCGTTCGCTTGGAGCGAACGACAGATGGCTCCTGTTTTTCTTTTTCAGGTGTGCGGAGCTCATGATCTCTGTGTTTCTATGGTCACATGCTTTTCGTTATAAGACTTTTGAATTTTGTTTCGAACCTCCATTAGTCACGGATGCATGCTCTTACTTCAACATCATTGCAAAAGTTTTCAAGAGTCAAATTCTACGTTTTATTTGTTCAACGCATTGTACTTTATCGAAGTAGTAATAATATTAGTATATTTCCAATTTAGTTCAACTTTGTCCCATATCTCCTACTTAGCATTTAACAAATGATAATTTAGCCAAAAGAAATTGTAAGGGTAGCCAAAAGTGTTGTTTCTGTAATTGCAATGAAACAATTAAGCATTTTTTTTTGCTTGTCAACATGTTAAGACAATCTGGAACAGAATTCATATAGCTATCGGGTTATACCCACCTAGATCCATATCTGATATGCTGGGGAATTGGATAACGGGCATAGCAAGAGAGGAGAGAAAAAGTATTTTCGTGGAGGTGCAACTCTTATTTGGGCAATTTGGTGTTCATGTAATGATATTGTTTTTGAGAAAAAATAATATACTTCCTTTTTGTAGGCTACCTTTAGGGAACGTATTGGCTACGGTTTGAAGCGTTCCTGCAACATGAGGACGCTAGGGAGATGATCCGGTTGTCGAGCAAATATGTGGAGGTGGTCGCTCTGGATATCTTCGCCAAAAGTAGATGGAATAGCAATAATAGACTATGCTTATAATTTTCATTCTAAAGTGTGATCTTTCTCTTTATTTGTTAATGAACATTTATGCTGAAAATCTTGTAAGAGATACATAGAATGTGGAGAAGAACTATCTAATCATCTCTTCATGGTAGTCCTGTCGTTTAGACATTAACGTGTGAAGACCAATCTGAAGATATTTTTTTCAACATCTTTTAACTCTTTAGAATGTTTGATTTCTTCCCAATTGATCCATTTATTGCTGTAAAAGCAGTCTCTTAATAAACACTGGTGTAGAGGTCCTCTTGCTTGTAGGGGCAAAGCTACATATGTACATGTGGGTGCATATGCCCCTCTCTCAAAATACATATTTAATGATAAAGTCTAAAATTTGACCATATATGCACCTTCTATGGTCGAAGTCCATTCAACTCTTCGAGGACCTTAATTTTAACGTCTTCAACCTCAATTATAATGTATGCTTTGTGTACTGCAGCCTCTGTTGTTTTCACAATTGTAGCGTCAACAGGTGCCTCTGTCGCTTCCTCAATTGTAACGTGAGCACGAGCACTAAAACAACAAAGATGGTTCTTCGTGTATTGGACTAAACCATGCCATATGAAATTACTTTTCAGGAGAGTTTCTTCATGTCCAAGGATCCAAAGGCAGTTCCTGCAGGGGAGGCATTTAAATGAGATGAAAACGGGCTAGGATTTTGAATTTGTCTAATTGATCCAAAGACAGTTGTTTATATCAACGGAAAAGGAACAAAGGTTAACAACTTAACATGCTTTGCTCTCGTCAAGACCACATTAGCTCTTTTACGAAAGCCTATGTTCCCATCAGGGGCAAAGCTACCTAGATCATAGTGGGTGCACATGCACCCATGGGGTAAATTTTTTTTAGAGCTAACTGTCACAAATTTCTGGGAATGCACCCCTCTCGGCTGAAACACATGCACCTCCCAAGCTCAATAACAGCAGGCTGACAAGCAGAGAACAGCATGCAGGTAGAGCACTAGCCGGTGAAAGCCGATAGCCAGTACAGGGTGTGATTAAAGCCTTCACCCAATGGCCATCGTATCATCTCGGGATAACCTTTAGATAATGGATCTACTGCGGACTCTGCTGCTCATCGCATGCTATCCTTATCTGCATTTTTTTTTGTTTCGAATCATTTTATTTGTTAATTTAGTTATAATCAATGCTTTGACTTACTTAGTTTTAAATTATCATTGTTTACATGCATTTGATTTTGAAAACTGTTGCATTTTAATACTGTTTTTTTAACTACAACATCCAAACTTGGCCTAAATTATTTGTTCCCTTTTTACTAGAATGAACTTTTCTTTCACTCCATCATCAGAATAGTATAATATATAAGTGTGTTTCTTTTTTCTTATAAACTCTCACTGCATCATTTTCATTGTGCGTGGCTACAAGATAATAGCTTGCATTTAAACTATATACATGCTTGTTAAGAAAACATTGTATGAAATTATATGCATAACCATATTTCCTCAGTCCCAAAAAAATTTGCTGTGGAATTCATGCTGACCAAACTTTCTTAAATTCGACTAAGTTTGTAGAAATATTAGCAACGTTTATATCTCCAAATAAGATTATTATAAAAATATATTTATCAATTCATCTAATGATACTAATTATGCATCATAAATATTGTTTTTTATTATATATTTGGTCAAAGTTAAAAATATTTGATTTATTAGGAAGTAAGAATGATACTCTTTGTAGAACCGAGGGAATATATACTTATGGCAAAGCAGCATACACGCACTCCTCAAATTTGTTCTAACTTCGCCATGGAGTAGTAATAATATCTGTATAATTTTCAAATATGTTTTTTTCTTCATATTTCCAATTTAGCCCAGCTTTGCCCCATATCTCCAACCTAGCATGGATGTTATCAACGGTAAATAATCAGTCACCTATCGCTTAGCCATTATTCAGGCTAACACAACCACTTAAACATGCAAAATGACCGTTTAAGTAGGATAAATGAACGATTAAACATAAATGACTACCACTTTGCGTCGTTTAAATAGTGTGTAACTAGGCTAAACAACCACTTTATACAAATAATGTCTTCCCCTATTTTTCTTCTATAGTAGTTTGCCCTGATCAAATTATATAAAAAATCGTGTTGAATAAGTTATTTATAAATATTTTCTAAGGACATTGAACAACAAAAACTTATAGGTACAAGTTATGTTGTTCATAAATTTATTATATAAAAGTTGTGCAAGAAATTCTATGTTGAGAAATTATTATGAAAAGTTTGCCCGTTGATAATTATGAACAAAATTTGGATTTCAAATGGCATAGATAAAAGTTGTCATGATAAGTTGTATGTAAATTAATGTCAAAAAATACATTGAAAAATTATGAATAGAAGTTGTCGTTATAAGTTATGCCCTACAAAATATTATATACAAAAGTTGTGAATATAACTTTGTAACTTTTCAATAGAAAGTTGAGGAAATATTTTTTTTCTAGAAAAGAAAGTCATGGGGTTGTTTCATCATTCACTGGATTAGAATCCCATGCCCAAAACTTAAAAAACAGTGTAAAACGTGTCTATGCAGGTTTTGCTGAGCAATAGAGTGAATCTTCATAAAATTTACTTACTGACTGTACATAATTAAGATTTTTAATAATATAGGGTCCGTTCAACTCTGTACAATAGTGTGCACTTGCCAAACAGATAAAATGAAACAAAAGAATCTATTGATGTCGCTATGTTGTTCATGCCGTAGACAAAAGCTTGAGCTGATTACTATGATAACCAACACATAGTAATAGTATAATGCTCCAACTTGTACTGAATATTTTAGAAAATACACGGTCAAAACAGTGATGGAATACGTAAGGCGCACATGCTTAAAGCAGAAAACTAAAATAAGGGGGAAATGCATGGAAGCGCAGAGACGACATAGCCGCCGTCAGTAACAACTCGGTACAAACTTTTTGTAATCCCTTTTCAGTTTGTCCTGCTCCAGTAACAATAAGCAGAATAGCAACTGCAGATGGTAACAAAGCCTGAAAACCATCAGCTACATTCCGAAGCGCATAGGTACCTATGTTCAAATGACAAATGCAAAATGCAATTCTGATGTCAGTTCTTCACCAGATTACAAGCAGGCATGCCCAATACGCATCAAAAGTATTTTGAACACATAACGCTGGTCCAACTCAAGAAACTGTTCGAGTCACATCGACCTTGCTAACTGAAACTAAGAAAACAGCAATCTCCAGGGCCTGTGCAAGGCTAGCCCAAACCTTGCAAGCCAACATGGTCACTGGCTAGCGCCATAAACCAGACTGGGGAACAGCCAGAGGCTGCCTATTTGACTGTAGTCCGGTGAGAAATCAATACCATACATCATGGAGTCAACTATGTGGCCGTGTGGCACTGACTGACCTCCAGCGCTGTCCAAGCCTCTTCAGGATCAGCATCATCAAATAGCCTGGCAACATAAACGCAGTTACTCTTCCCTTCCCATCTCTCGGGGTTAACACAAGAAAATGCAGGGTTCCTCCTATCCAGGCTAAGAAACAGCGCATGGTTTTCCAGCTTCTCCATCTGTACCAACTTGGCTGGCTTCACTGAGAAGTCAAGGCGAAAGACCTCAAAAAATCTAATGTGGCTGCTAAGTGAGGGAAGAGAACTACGAGTAATTGCGAGCTTAACCATGAGAAGCATGTCACCACAGACCACCAGCCATGGGGGTAAGAGGCAGGCACTGAAGGGACCTCCACGTAACTGCTACTTCTTTCATGCTGAATTGAGGTGTCAATTGGATAGTATGAAGCCTCATAAGAGCATCTATGACAAGGATATGACCTTTGAAGAACACAACCTGATAGATGCGTTCATGGTCAAGATGAAGAGGATGCTCTGACCAGGCGTTTGTTCCAACCTGCCACTCAAACATGGAGGCCCTTGAGAAAAGGAGGAGGCGCGAGTTGGATGAACTGAATGGGGCCATCAAGATTGTTGTTGCATGGTAGTTCGGGTGCTTTCACCTTGGCACCAGTGTATGCATCGACGAGGAGGCAGTGTTCCTCACATGTAAAGATAAGATACCCATGTGAGCAGCCCAGATAGTGCATTTCATTTGGAGTGTTTTGAGGCGTTGAACATTGAAGGGATAGGTTTTTCTTGGTAAGGTCACTGAGCTACCATTTGCAATTAGACAAACGGAGGGTCTTGATACCTCTGCTATGTGGAGGGACATAAGGATCATCTGGTTCAAGGTGGAGAGGTGGGAAGTTGAAAGCATACACAGAGGGGAAGGAAGAGACTGCTGCACGCCAAGAGTGGCAGGTGCCACTAAAAGCAAGGAAGTCCTGGAATGAGTTGATGAGAATAATGATTTCATGAAGCAGGCTGTCCACGAGATCTGCACAAACATAAGGTCCAGATAAAGTCGATGAAGTAGAGCCTGAGGTGTGACAGGTGTTCTTAGAGGGCTTCTCCACAATGGTAACTTCTCTGTCACATAGAAATTCAATAACAGTGGATCAGAATAAAGAACCGAAACATAATAGAGTTATACTGTTGGAAACTGTAGGAAATGCAGTAGGATGTAACTGAACAATAAGGCATGGTGGTCTATCTTGACATACTAAACTTCAATCGGGACAAGCTATGTCAGAACCACCAATAGTTTGCTTTTTTCCACAATAGCATAACTTGTTTGGGTGCACTCCAATCCACTATAATCCACTTGGGTTCGGAGGGACTGGAGTGGAAACTTTACTAATTTTCCACCCCAATCCTTCCCAACCCATGTGAATTGGGGTGGATTGAAGTGCATCCAAACAGGGGGTGGAGACCCAAATTAAAGGAGGCCAGTGCACTAACTGCCCCACTACTAATTGACCAAAAATACCCTAAATATATCACTGCCATTTTGATCAAAATGTCACGCTAATTTATCAACAAAATACACTAAATTTCTCTACCAGTCCACCAAATGATTCGACACTTTTTCTTTTTTTGACACCAAGACTAGACATTTCAGTAGTATACTGATTGATGTGCTCGTCTATAGACTAGCGATTGACTAAACCAAGACTACTGATTGATTGATGGGTGGCAAGAGCTCGTGGATTCTCTCCTGTTTCTGGGGGGGGGGGGGGGGGAGGTAGCAGAGAGAGATGAGTGGTTAGGGTTGGGGTCAGCCTACAGACCTGGTGCTGAGAGTGGCATCCGCCAGCGACGAGGATTCGGCGCCCTGCTGCGACGACCGCGCTCCGTGGCGGCGGCTTCCCGCCATGGAGGTCGTGTGGAGGCGTTGGTTGCTCGAGCTCATGCTCCTTGCCTGATTGCCTCCATGGAGAGGAGAACGTCCCAAGGTAAAACAAAAACAGGCCCAGTCGGCCCAACTAAAACAAGGTCTGGTCGGCCCAGTTCATTTTATTACGTATTGCCGAAGATAGTAAAAAAATACTTCAACTTTTTTTTTGAAAACAACTATTTACCCGAGCAGAGTTCTAGTACAGTTTCGAGTCAACTTTAAATTTAACTATATGATTCATGTAAAAAAGTTGTTAATATTTATAATACCGAATATGTATCATTAGATTTATCGAAGAATATATTTTCATGCTACACCTATTTATGTTATATTGATATAGTTTTTTCATAAATTTAAATTAATTTTAGATAGTTTAACTAACGATAGAACTAAATTTGTGTTCAAACACTTATTTTAGAAATACAATTCAACTCGGCCCACTTTTTCTAATCTAGAGCATATGATGCAGTTTCACTTAGGCTGTGTTTAGTGGTAGGAATTTGAATTTTGGGCTACTATAGCACGTTCGTTTTTATTTGGCAAATAGTGTTCAAACATGGACTAATTAGGCTCAAAACGTTCGTCTCGTAATTTCCCACCAAACTGTGCAATTAGTTTTTCTTTTCGTCTACATTTAATGCTCCATGCACGGGCCGCAAACATTCGATGTGACAGGTACTGTAGCAAATTTTTGAAAGTTGGGGTGAAACTAAACAAGGGCTTAGACAACCAAACACATGACTTATGAGAACCAAATGAGAAGTCAGTCATGGAAAGTTTCACCAAATAGAATAGTAAATTGATAATACCTTTTGGTATTGTCAGAGGAAACGGTAATACATATGGATCAGTTAGAGATGTTTCTTGTCACCTGTTAGCAAACCTCACCCTGGGGATCCGTTGGCGGCACCAAGGCCCAAGAGGAAGAGAGTCAGCAACGTCAAGTTGGCTGGGCCGGAATGGGCTTGCACATCTTGCAACGAGAAGCCGAGTCGGCCTAAAGACCATTCCGTCGGCCCACTGGCTTGAGGCTGAGAAGAGTGAATCGAAGCTGCTATATATGTGCCGCAGGGAGAGGGAGAGGGCATGAAAGGAATTCTGTATTTTCTTCCTTGTAGCGAACAAGTTCTTCTATCAATACATACCGTAGGTTCTGTAATCTCCTTCCTGAGTCCGGCCGCCTGCTATCGGCGACACTGACATTGGTATCAAAGCCGTCGACCTCCGACCACCGCGCGTGCTAGAGATCCTCCCACCCGCCCATCCCCACTTCACCCGCCTTCAACGATCCCGCGGCGCCATGGATCCCGTCGTCCGCCAGATGTTCGACGATTTGATTCACCGCTTCGACACCTTCCGCTCCGAGTTCGACGGCCTCGGTGCCCGTCTGGACCGACACTTCACCGAGTCGGAGGCCTTCCGCTCCGAGCACGACTCCGCTGTCGACAGCCGCCTCGACTCCTTGGAGCAGTTCGCCTCCGCCCAGTACACCGCCGCCATCGTCGCTGACAACTGGGGCGGCCACTTCTCCGAACGCGTCAGCGAGCTGGAGGGGCGCGTCCATGATCTGGAGATGGTGCGCTACGTCGAGATCCAGGACGAGCGCGACGAACGGGTTGCCGCCCTGGAATCCACCTCGAAAGCATTCACCGCCTGGCGTCCCCGGATCGAGAGCTCCCTCTTCACCATTCGCTCAGAGGTGGATCGGCTGTCCAAGCTCTGGGATCGATCCAGCGTTGCTCCTAATGGTGGATCTCCCGAGCACAAGGGTATTCTGGAGTTGGTCGCCGGGCGCGCATCTGCCGGATCAACGACCGACTGGCCCAGTGGGCACGGCGTCGCCTCACCACCACGGGATGCGGGGTATGGCTCGGTCACGACCATAGCCCCATGCCTGGCCAATGGTACGTTACCCGCACCTAATCCTCCTCCGCCGCCGTTATAGTTCCATCCTCCTCCTCCTCCACCACCATATCCTCCCCTTCCACCCCTGCTGCCGTACCCTTCCCAGCCCCCTCCACCATCGCCGAACCCATACCCATCACCATACTACCAGTCGTCTCCGTTTCCACCTACGCAATATGCTCCTCACCCCAGTTCCCAACAGCCTAATTATTTTCCCCATCAAGCCAATCCCACTTTAGGCCAACTCCCTAAGATGTTGTTTCCTCAATTCGATGGGGATAATCCTAAGCTGTGGCTCTCCCGTGCTCGTGCCCACTTTGAAATGTACTCAGTTCATCCAGCGCTCTGGGTTCGCGTCGCCACTCACCATTTCACCCATGCCGCAGCCCATTGGCTTCAGTCTGTTGAGTCTGAAGTTCAGAACATATCCTGGGAATCTTTCTCTAACCTCATCCATGAGCGATTTAGCCGTGATCAGCACGAGCTGCTCTTACGTAAGCTTTTCCACATTAAACACACTTCCACCGTGTCTGATTATATAGAAAAATTGACTGATCTTTTTGAACAACTCAAAGCCTACAATCCTCACCCTGATAAACTCTATTTTACAACTCGCTTTGTTGATGGTTTACGCGATGATATTCGCTCTGTTGTTATGGTTGCTCGACCCCAAAACCTCGATACTGCTTGTACTCTCGCCTTGTTACAGGAAGAGGCGCTGGACCAAGGTGTCCGCAAGGAATTCAAGTGCTCGGAAGCGTCCCCGTTCGCTCGCACGGCAACCATCAAGGGTGCTCTTCCCCTGCCTCTTCCACCCTGGCGTCCCCAAGCTGTGCCAGATCTAGTCCCTGAGAAGCGAGTTCCAACCAAGGCTACTTCTATCGACGACAAGCTATCCACTCTAAGAAATTACCGGAGAGCACGTGGCCTCTGTGTTCGCTACGGCGACAAGTGGGCTACAGGCCATAGGTGTGCTCTAGTTCCACAAGTTCATGCTCTTCAAGAAGTCTGGGACCTATGCTCTGAGGCATTCTAGGAAGCTGTCGATAGTCCAATCCAAGATGCTGATCAGCCCACCGATGTTCAGGCTTTCATGATGCTCTCCTCCGCTGCGGCTTCTGGTTCAGCTGCTCCCAGAACTATGCAATTCAAGGGATCGTTGCTTGGCCGTGACGTCGTCATTTTGGTGGATTCCGGCAGCATCCATTCCTTCTTGAGTTCTTGCATTGCAACCGGTCTGCCCAATCTGAGTCCTCTTCCTAAACCAATGACAGTTCGTGTGGCTGATGGGGGCTCTCTTCTCTGTGCCGCCGAACTCAGCTGTGTTGAATGGTCAGTTCAAGGCTACTCTTTCCACTCTACCCTGCGCATCCTGCAGTTGGGCTCTTATGACATGATTGTCGGTATGGATTGGTTAGAAGCCTTCTCGCCTATGAGGGTTGATTGGATGAGCATTCCTTATGGCCAGCGCCATGTCACTCTTCATGGCCTGTTGCTGGATTCTGATCAGCACGATCTCATGCAGCTCTGTCACATTACTGCTCCTGCTACTCCATCGGACACTCCTGTGCTTCCTCCAGCCATCCAGCATCTCATTGACGAATTCTCTGAGCTATTCCAAGAACCTTCTGATCTGCCACCTCGTCGTCAATGATATCATATTCCATTAGTTCCTGGTGCTCCACCAGTGGCTCTCCGTCAGTACCGTTACAAGCCAGCGCTCAAGGATGAAATTGAAAAACAAGTTGCTGAGATGCTACAGACGGCATGATATAACCCAGTTCGAGTGCTTTCTCTTCCCCGGTGCTTTTGGTCCGCGAGAAAGATGGATCATCGCGGTTCTGCGTTGACTACAGGATGCTCAACGCCTTGACCATCAAGAGCAAATTCCCTATCCTAGTGGTGGATGAGCTGTTGGATGAGTTGGCCCACGCCCGCTGGTTTTCTTGCTTGGATCTCCGGGCTGGTTTTAATCAGATTCGTCTGGCACCCGGTGAAGAACATAAAACTGCCTTCCAAACACATTGGGGTCAGTTTGAGTTTACTGTCATGGCCTTCGGATTGACCGGCGCACCAAATACATTCCAAGGCGCCATGAACACCACTCTCTACCCTTTATTGCGCAAGTGTGCCCTGGTTTTCTTCGATGACATTCTTGTGTACAGCCATACTCTCGAAGACCACATTCAGCACCTTCGCCAGGTTTTTACCTTGTTAGCAAGCGACCAATGGAAAGTTAAGATCTCCAAATGTCGTTTTGCACAACAGTCCATTTCATACCTAGGACACATTGTCAGCCATAATGGTGTTTCCACAGACCCCAGCAAGATTGACTCTGTCCAGCAGTGGCCTCCACCCCGGAATATCAAAGAGCTCCGCAGCTTCTTGGGGTTAGCCGGCTACTACCGCACGTTTGTGCAGCACTTTGCTACATTGGCCAGACCTCTGACTGATCTGCTCAAGAAGGGGTCTATATTCATTTGGACCCTATCTCACCAAGCTGCTATGGATGCTTTGAAAGTCGCCCAGTTTTTGCCTCTCCGGTGTTCCATGCCATCAGACTTGCTTCAGAGGCCATTTCAACTTCAGACCGATGCCAGTGACTTGGGTGTTGGAGCAGTCCTGTTACAAGAGGGACACCCACTTGCTTTTGTCAGCAAAGCACTTGGCCCCCGATCTCGAGCTTTGTCTACTTATGAAAAGGAGTTCCTGGCAATCATAGTGGCCGTCGAGCAGTGGCGTTCATATCTCTAGCACAGCGAGTTTACTATCTTTACTGACCAACGCAGCCTCATGCACTTCACTGATCAGCGTCTGCAGACCCAGTGGCAGCTCAAGATGCACACCAAACTGGTCGGTCTTCAGTACAAGGTAGTCTACAAGCCCGGCAAGTCCAATTCTACAGCCGATGCTCTGTCCCGTCATCCAGACCCACCATATCAACTACAAGCTCTATCCATTTCCACTCCGGCTTGGCTTGCCGATGTTACCGCCGGTTATGCTTCTGACCTTGAGTCTTCCAGGTTGCTCCAGGAGCTGTCTGTCAACTCTCACAGTCATCCACCTTTCACCTTGCATCATGGTGTCATTCGCCACTCAGGCCGCATCTGGGTTGGCCACAACCATCAACTGCAGCAACAAATTATCTCAGCCCTTCATGACAGCGAGCTGGGAGGCCATTCCGGGTTTCCAGTCACTTACAGCCGCATTAAGAAGCTCTTTTTCTGGCACGGTATGAAGCAGTCCATCAAAGCTTTTGTTGCTGCTTGCTCAGTTTGCCACCAGGCCAAACCCGATCGAGCCCGCTACCCGGGTCTTCTTTCTCCTCTGCCAGTTCCTGCCGAAGCCTGGCAAATGGTTTCTATGGACTTCATCGATGGCTTACCACCTTCTGGCCACGCTAACTGCATCATGGTGGTTGTGGATAAGCTAAGTAAATTTGCACATTTCATTCCATTACATCACCCTTATACAGCCCACAGAGTAGCTCAAGCTTTCCTCGACAACATCTTCAAAATTCATGGCTCGCCTACTCATATCATCTCCGATCGTGATCCCATCTTTACCAACTAGTTTTGGCGTGAGCTCTTTCGCCTTGCCCAAGTCACTTTGGCTATGAGTTCAGCGTACCATCCTCAGTCTGACGGCCAGACCGAACGTGTCAACCAATGCCTCGAAACTTATCTGCGGTGTTTTGTTCATTCTTGCCCACGACAGTGGTTGAAGTGGCTGCCACTTGCCGAGTACTGGTACAATACCAGTTCACACTCAGCTTTGGGAAAATCTCCATTTGAGGTACTGTTCGGTCGTTCTCCTCGTCATTTTGGTATTACTGAACTTGCTGCTTCCCCTGTGCCGAACGTCGCCTCCATGCTGGCGGAGCGCACCACCATGCTGGCCTCTGTTCGTCAGCATCTCCTTCGAGCCCAGCAGCGCATGAAGCACCAAGCGGACAAGAAACGCTCCGAGTGTTCGTTCCAGGTTGGCGACTTCGTCTACCTCTGTCTACAGCCTTACGTACAGTCCTCGTTGGCGCCGCGCTCCCACCACAAGCTGTGCTTCAAGTACTTTGGTCCTTTCAAGGTGCTGTCCAAGATCGGAGCAGTGGCGTACAAGCTGGAGCTACCACCGACGTCTTCCATCCACCCGGTGTTCCACGTCTCGCTGTTGAAGCCGGTGTCGTCCGCTGTTCCAGCTGTCTCCGCCAGGCTCCCCGACCTCGACAACAACTTGCAAGTCCTAGAGTGCGTGCTGCAGTCCAGACTTCATCAACGTGGATCCCACTCTGTCAAGCAGTTGCTGATCAAGTGGTCCGGCCTCGACGACGACCTTGCTACCTGGGAGGACGCCGACGCTGTTATGCAGTGTTTCCCTGGTGCCAGCACTCAAGGGGGGAGGGATGTTAGCAAACCTCACCCTGGGGATCCGTTGGCGGCACCAAGGCCCAAGAGGAAGAGAGTCAGCAACGTCAAGTTGGCTGGGCCGGAATGGGCTTGCACATCTTGCAACGAGAAGCCGAGTCGGCCTAAAGACCACTCCGTCGGCCCACTGGCTTGAGGCTGAGAAGAGTGAATCGAAGCTGTTATATCTGTGCCACAGGGAGAGGGAGAGGGCATGAAAGGAATTCTGTATTTTCTTCCCTGTAGCGAACAAGTTCTTCTATCAATACATACCGTAGGTTCTGTAATCTCCTTCCTGAGTCCGGCCGCCTGCTATCGGCGACACTGACATCACCATATATAAATCAAACTAGCAGGTAACCCCACGCTTCACGGGGGCAGGAGACTAACAATATATGCAGTGTATAACAGATTTAGATGCAGTGGCAAAGGCGGTATATATCAGTCAATTATGATTCACACATTGTCCCTCCATTTCAACACGTTGCGTGCGCTAGAAATGCAAGAGGAATAAGTAGTCCTTTTGGCTCCGTTCGCTTCGCTGAAAAAATAAGCCGAAACACTGTTCTGGTTGATTTGTTGTGAGAGGAAAACACTGTGTAAGGAAAATGGACCCTAAGCCCATTTACTTTGGATTTTGGTGTTTGATGACCAACACAACCAAATTGGACTAATGAATTTGTAAGTGTTTGCTTTGTAGTCCAACAGGGTGCAAGACGTGACTTGGACGAAGGCGACGTGATGATCCGATGATCAACACCTTAAGCAAGACCTTAGGAGCACAAGAAAAGACCCAAGATATCAAGCAAAGTCCAAGCATGAAGTTAGAAACCAAGCCGTACGCAAGATCACGAAGAAACGAGCTCGCAGACGTGACCGGACGCTGGACCGGTGGCTCGGCTGACAGGCGACCGGACGCGAGGACCGGACGCTGGCGGCAACCGACCGGACGCAGGAACGCAGCGTCCGATCGATTACAGTAAGGTTCCAGAGCGGCAAATCTGTGACCGGACGCGTCCGGTGGCAGGCGATCGGACGCTGGACAACGTCCGATCAGTGTTTTGCCGGCTCAACGGTCGGGACGACCGGACGCGTCCGGTCAGGACGATTCAGCGTTCGGTCAGTAGCAGTTTCGCGGGAATTCAACCCCAACGACTACTTTCTCAGTGGGGCTTATAAATACAACCCCCAACCAGCCATTTGAGGGGTGTGAGGCTGAGGAAACATACCAAGAGTGTTGATACATCATTTAAGTGATCTCCACATGCATAGTGCTTAGTGTTTTATTAGGTGATTAGCATAAGTGCTTTGCGAAGTGCTTAGGTTGATTAGACCACCGCTTATGCGCTTGCTCTAGGTGTTTGCCTAGTGTTTAAGTGAGGTTTGCATACCTCTTGCCACCCCGTGCTTGTGAGCACAAGTGTTGTATATCGGAGGGGCTTGAAGTCTTGCGAGATCACACCAATCGCGTTTGTGGTGTGGCCGCCACCGTGTACCAGAGGGAACAAGACCCGCGACGTTTCGGCTGGAAGCTTGATAGTGAAGACGGCGGGGAGCATCCGGGAGAGGCTTGCCGAGAGGCACATCGGAGACCCACTTGCGCGTGGGGAAGGCCCGAGGCTATCCACGGAGTTACCCGACCGGGAGCTTGGCCCTTGCGAGGGATTCCTTGCGAGGGGCTCCAACGAGGACTAGGGGGAAGCTTGCGCGTTTCTCGATACCTCGGTAAAAATATCGGAGTCATCGACGGGAGTTTGTATATCTCTACCTTGTTCTTTAGCTTCCGCATTTACATTGATTACTTTACTACGTTTGAAGTAGAGATAGCAACACACTAACAAAACCATAGTTGCACATTTAGATAGCTTATCTATTACATAGGTTTTGCTAGGGTTAGAAAAAGAGGTCATAGTTTAGAGTTAGAATTTTAAGTTGCCTAATTCACCCCCCCTCTTAGGCGTCACGGTCCCTTCACACTGTTCTGGCTGAAAAAACAAGCTGAAAAAGACGGATTATAAGATAAGCGAACATGACATTTATTGCCTAATAGCATATATAAGCCGGTATAAATGTGTGTGTATGTCCCTCTTGCATACCGAGCCGCAAATAAAGTCTGCGTATAAAGGTACTTACCAAAATAGGAAAACTCGCTAGGCTGCTCAAAATTCGCTACCCTTGTCAAATCAAAGAAGCGTGAAACACACATGGTGGAAGGATGTCTTGACGATGACGCCAAGAGGTTGGAGCTATGAGCACTATAAGCCTTTGATAAGTTGACTGATCGAACCTGATACAGATATAGGGTGAATGTCGTCTTCATTTTTCAACGGGATTCTACATCATAACAAAAGAGGGAGATATATGATGATGTGAATATTTGTTTAACTAGAGAAATGTTTGACGATGCCATGACAATGAGGATTAGTAATGTACTCCCTGCATTCCAAATTATAGACATCTTGACTTGTTTAGATACATAACTTTTGATATATACTTAACTATACAATATGTCTAAATACACATAGATATATAGTAAAAGTAATGTATCTAAGATAGTTAAAACATCTTATAATTTAAAACGGATGAGATATTTGAGGAGGTATTCTCTTCGTTGCTGGCGGTGAGCTACGGGGGTCTTGGTTGCTTAGGAATGCATACGCAGTGTTACAAACTTACAATGCATCACGCATGAACATGCCTGGCAGGGACAGACTCACAGTCTGCCACTTATCAGTCAAAGAAATGAATTAATCCGGTTGTGTTACCAATATTCCTTTTAACCATGTGAACGCCGTGCACAATAATTCGCAGGAATTTGTTAATGTGTCCACCGTGGTCTACCGTCTACGTAGCTATGCGCCACCTTGTAAAGTTGTGTAACTGAAAAGGTAACCAAAGACTGAATCATGAGGCGAAAGAGGTACAATATCAACGGTATTCTGTAGATCGAGCATATCATACTACCGGTGTAGTACCATGAAATTTACAGCAATATTCAGCAAACGACAGAACAATGTTGTTCCACGCATGCGCTGGGCACTCCTCACAGATGGAAAGCCAAAGCAAATCGAAGCGTGTGATTGCACGTGTACATGCATCAAGAGAACAGGCAATATTAGCACAATCTTCAAGTCTAGCATAAAATGCACAGCTCAATTCACAATGATTACAAAAGCCTGTTGGAGGTGTAAGGTCACTTCCTCTTCATCTGTCAAGATTACCAATATCTACTCGTCCCGCAGTGAAAAGGCATAGGCAGTGATGGTTGATTCTAGAAATCAGTGTCGAAGCACGATGTCATCACCTTTGATACAATTGACCTTGCGAAAGGTATGTAGCTAAGACTGTACCTGCAGGAACCAACAAATTGAAATTTTAGATTTGTCAATCAGTTCCCAGGCACCAACACTTGGACATGTTAGTGCCCTCCGTGACATGGGATGGAAATGGTTGCAAATCATCGAAAAAGGACTAAATCATTTTCAGTTCCATATTTTACTCGGAAAAATGTATTGTCAGAAAATAATACAACCTTGGTATTACACGAAAATAAAAGTGGAATTATATGATAAAAAACAAATCGATATTGGTGGGGAATTGATAATTCTTAGCCAAAACACAAAACCGTACAAAAGAATGACTAAGGAATGAATGAATGATTGATATTCACAAGTCATCATATATACATATTACAGCAACACAAGGGAGTAGGCCTTTTACCCTCTTAGACTTGTGGGTGGGGATTTACCATCAGTAATTAATAGAAGCATACCCCGCGCGTTGCAGCGGGATTTTCTTAAAAATAAATCTGTTATATACATAACATTACTATATGATATTCTCTATATTGTGTCTATATATATATATATATATATATATATATATGAATTTGACTTGAATGTTATTTTATTGTATCAGATTTGGTAAAAATCGGTAAGCTAATAGAAGAAAAAACAATAGAATATTTGATTACATTATAGAGGAATAGGTGATGAAACAAATAGCGTATGTAGATGACTTGTATGTTAATACATTAAAGATTCAAAGTATTGCACATGTTAGAGATGGCGTGGACAGTTTTTGTAATTAATAAGGGATGACATGGACTTAGTGAGGAATGATGTGGACACCTTGCATGAAGAGATAGAAAATCTAGTGGGTTAGTGGGGAATGATGTGGACACCTTGCATGAAGAGAAAAATCATCTAGTGGGGTTTAGCTTTATAAGAGTACATAGATTGGCGGAATATGGAAAACTCAGAATAGATTGGAAAGACCTAAGGTTGTTTTCTTTTCCATATTTTTGTGTCCAAATTTCCAGTTACCATTTCCTTATATTACCCTAAGATGAAGAAACCCACAAAACAAACCTGGTAAATGGGATTTTTCCATTTTTTCACTTTTATCCCTACTCCCTTGAGACATGTCAAACAATTCTTTCAAATTTCATTTGCTCAGTATATCGTGAATATAAATACAGTGTCACAGTGATACCTCATGGGATGGTGTCTGCCTACGGATGTTGGTCAACTATTCTTAAGGTGGCAAGAAAAATTGAATCACCGAGAAGAAATACAGCTGGCAGGGAATATGCTTAAATTCACTCATTCAAGGATAACTAAACTTACCAAACAAGGGCACCAAATTCCAAAATGATGGCCAGTAGAGTCAACAGCTTGCTGTGAACCTATTTGGTGCAGAAAAACATTGAATGTACAATTTGTGCTGACATATAATTCATAAAATACACCTTTTGCGCTAGAGCTTAGATTATTTTACTTACATAGAGAGCACAGAATAGAGCAACTATGATGCTTGCAATGTATATAGCAGTGGCGTATATTCGCACAGAATCAAGCATCATATCAAACTGTCTTTTGGGGCCTATGAGAAATGCTGTACTGCCAAACAAATGATCCCGGTATTAGTTGACATGACAAAAGCATTTGAGAGATAAATAAATAATAGAGGAGTTAGCCTGCCCCCATCACACAGGATATACATGTGCTTATAAGATAATATACACTGCTGTACTGTGCTGAAGTTACACAAGCATCTAGCATAGTAGCATGGCAACTTTTTGTTACAAGATAGTTCAAGTTTCAAGTCCACCAGAAAAACAGATTGGGACCTTCTTGATACAGATATTAAGGGTGGATGTACTAATTTAGCATCCAGGTGTAATAGTGAACAGTTCAACATTAGTTCTTAAACTAGCATGCTCACATTTCCAGTGCCCAATACAACAAATATGATTTGGTAGAGGAAGACCTAATGATACATGAGCAGGTTCTTTGATATAAAATTGGGTCACTGATAATCCCACATTTCTTAAGAGTAGTTTAGTTTCAAATTTTAGAAGGGCGGGCCTGGTGCAAGCGGTAGAGTCTTACCGCCTGTGACCGGAAGGTCCCGGGTTCGAGTCGCGGTCTTCTCGCATTGCACAGGCGAGGGTAAGGCTTGCCACTGACACCCTTCCCCAGACCCCGCACAGATTGGGAGCTCTTTGCACTAGGTACGCCCTTTTTAGTTTAGTTTCAAATTTTAGAAGTTAAACTAAACTAAGGATTCTCACTAATATCATGAAAGTAGTGACTAATCAGTGCGAAATCTAGATTACCTAAATTCCGTGATATCATCCCCTTCTAGTCAGTGTAGACTATAGAGGCTTGATCACAGTCTGTGGAAGTCCCTGGTGGCATGAATCATCCTTCAGACCAACAGGGCGCTCTCCAGATTGGTTTGGAGGTTTTCGTGGAACAGTTACCACCACGATCCCTAATGACAGTGATTATATAGATGGGCTGGCCCCTTCATAACGTGGTGCAAACTTACCTGAAACCTAACCCCTATGTGTTTAACCTAACAATTGAAGGCACTATTGTCACTAAGATTTAATTTTGATTAGGGGAGCTAAATGCAAAAATGGTTAGGCCCCAGGTCTGTTACCTCTATACTAAGTGTTTGTGGGTTGGGTTGCATTTGGGGGCAGGGGGGAGGGGCTCTGTGGATCAATTCACACAATTACTAATCATGGTCAGCTGCTACCCAAAAGAAAATAAATAAGTGCTGCATTCACGTGAGGTTAGTGAAGAACATACTGCTCATTCATTTTATGATTTAAGTCCTAACAGTTCGTGCATCTATTCAATTTTATCGCAAAACCAAAATTCTAAAGCAGAAAAAATAGATTCTAACGAAGGGTGAAGATATATAAATTAAACAGATTACAGATCTTTGGCAGCTAGTAAAACAGACCTTCCAAGGGCCATCAAATTGCCAAGGGTGAATGTTACCCCAAATTTCACTGGATTGAAGAAGACAATCATTGACTGCAATAATAAACATGAAAAATATCAAATAATCCATAAGTGTTTGAAATTGAAAAAATAAAAGGGAATTGCAAAAGATGTAGGTATAAATAATGGGCACAACTGCAACCACAGGAAGAACAGAAATTGCATTTTGTTTTTCCTGTGTTCTTCATACTACGCTAGATTATTACAATGCATAGATCCTGTGATGAAGAATGAGGGCTGCTAGTTGCAGGATGCTGCCTCAAAATTAAACTACTTCAACAATCCACTTAATGTATCCACTGATTATTTTAAAGGAAAAACATTGTCATATGAGAAGACTTGAAAAGTTGTTTTTCTAAAAAAAAAAAAAAGCACTTAGGGACAGCAATACTGCTTAAATTATGGATTTAAATGATCTACTTTTCCCAAAAACATCTAAGGGGTGGACAATCTTACAGCTTGAATTAGTTGCCTAACCTATTAACAATCCTCAGAATGCTTCTTGTGATGTCAGTTAGGACTAATCACAGACAATGTTGTTGTCCCGACAGAGACTAGCTGCGGGGCAATGTTACTCACCAAGAAGGTGCACGTCAGTCCGGCAGCCAAGCATATCGCGAAACCATAGAGCCTCTGCACACAAGAGGTCAGCAAGACATGGTTAGACAGCAGGACCGCATTGCTCGAGCCGAGCGATTCTACCGCGACTTGCTCCGAAGTTCCGGCGCCGATACCGGAGCAGGAAAAGAGCCGCAAAGCGAGATCCGACGCCAGATCTGCGCGGAGACAAAGGGCGGGCTGAGGGATCCGTGCTTGCCTGGGTGGTGTTGAGGGTGCAGTGGCGGTTGATGTCGTCGAAGAAGGACTGCTCCTCGGGCGGCGGCAGCGCCGACTCCTCGTCGACCTCCATGCCCACCAGCATCTTGGCCCGCTCCAGCGCGCCCCGCATCGTGTCCATGGCGTTCTGCTCCGTTCGTGTCCCCTTTACCCCTGCTGCAGCGAAGGGAAGAGACCGCGCTGCGCACCTGCTCCGGCGATGAATAGTCGAGGGATCCCGGCGATTGGAGAGGAAAAGATCAAAAAAAACCCGTCCAGCAGCAGCACGACTGCACGAACACCTCGCTCGAACATTAGTGCCGGGCCCTATTTTCTTTTTGTTAGGCTTTATGGGGCTTTTCTCTCCTGGCGGCTGGCGCTATGGCTTAACCGCTAATGTCAGTTTCAATGGCCCTCCAAATTATGAGACATTTTCACTGTGCCTCCGTCCAAAAAAACATATAATTATAGAAAACGTGCCAGTGAAACTATTTTAAGTTTGATCAAGTTTATAGTAAATAATACTAGTGTTTATGTCTCTAAGTAAATTTATTATGAAAATATATTATATAACTAATCTAATTATACTTATTTTGTATCATAAATATTTGTACATTTTATATAAATTTAGTCCAAGCTCAAACTGTTTGACTTCTCGAAATATGAGAATTGCATTCTTTTTATGGACGGAGGGAGTATATATCTAAATACATAGCAAAACTTATGTACGTAGAAATGTCAAAATGTCTCAAATTTTAGAACGGTGGGAGTAGTTTCAAATCAATTTCACTCTCATTTATTGCTATAAAATATCATCAAATTAGTTCATTTGATAAATTAATTATAAAGAGAGAGTTTCATATAATTTCATTTATATGAATCCCGCTGTCATAGTTACCAATAAAAAACTGACGTGATAATTTTAGTAATTGTACCGTGAAACTCTCCATTGAGACTGGCCGAATGAAAAAAAATCTATGGTACCTCTCTCAAGATTTTCCTTCTCTAACTTTCGAATCAGATCTTCTCAATTATCAAAACCGTTTAAATTCTTATTTTCCAATTTGAAGTGAGTTTTAAAGTGGTTTCAACCTTTGTAGTTGAAAAACTATGATAAATATGATTCTAACTAATTAAACTAAACTAAATCTAAGGATGATCCTCGGTTATCGAGCTAGGATCATCATTCCTCCGCCACTTGGATGGAGGCTCTCGTCCTCCTTGTCGTCGTCTTTCTCCTCATCTTGTTGTTGTCCTCCTCCTCCCCCTCCTCCTCGTCGTCGTATCGCCATCATCGTCCTCTGCGGCATCATAGCCGCTGTCGAAAAATCGCTCCTCCTCAAAATCATAGGGAGGACTCCGATTAGGCGAGCTGTCGACGTTGGAGCCTTGTTGCTAGAGGGCCACCATTGCTGGACTTTGTCCTCATTGGTGGAGGAGTTGTTGATAGGTAGCTTGAAGTACCGTCCGATATGATTGAAGTTGGAAGAAGGGGATGAAGAAAGAACATGGGTGGTTTCAGAGTGCATATGGTGTGAAGAATATGTAGAGCATTGGGTAGGCCTCTTTGGCTTCTCCGGATAGAATTAATGCTGATGAAAGGATGTTGGTAGTTGGGACACCAAATAGTCACGAAGATTGTTGACCGTTGGTCCACCATAGGTCGTTAAGGGCCGGTGACAATAACAACTATCACAGCCTGAAGATCACTATTGGATCCAATGGTCACCGGTGATAACATATATTCACCGCCGGTTCAATTGGTCTCTGCGCCCCTTCGCCCCTCAAATTAACTAGTGGTGGGACAGATTCACCGCTGGTTATGTCATAACCGACGATGACAAAATGATGCTGCGCCTAAGAACTAGAGAGAGAGACAAAGGGAAGGAGAACATGGGTGGAGAAAAGAAGGAGAAGAGAAGAAGAAATCCAAGCTAAGGAAAGATCACTGCTAACAATAGAAGAAGATGAAGTTCATCCTCCTCTCCATCTTCATCACTTGAGTGAGCTTAAGAAATGTTTCTTTTTTCTCAAATGCAAATCCCAACTCTAATCCTTAATTTTCATCTTGCATGTGGTCGAAGATGAAGATTGTTGATGTCAAATCCATCTCAAGAGTAAGCCCTACTCATTCTTTGAATTTCTCTCTAATGAGCATGCATGTTTAGTGCAAGGAATTTTCAATCTTTAATTTCTCAAATCCTCCTCCCTCATTTGGATGCAAGAAGATTTGGAGCACGAGCTTCAGCTAGGTGACACAAGGTCACCAAGCCACTAATGTTAAGTTCATCAAACTCACTTTCATGTTTTATTCTCCTTTAATCATGCTTTTGCCCATTACTCTGTCTTAGATCAAACACACCTCCATGCAAGGCAAAATCCTAGGCTACACAACGCCAACACATCACTTAGACACTCCTAGATCATCACTAAACACACCTAGAAAACATCACCCACAAAGCTTAAGAGCCAACCCCAAGAACACCAAGAACAACTCATCTAGGTTCTGTTGACACTTTGGTGGAATGTTCGCGTGTTCTAATGGACTATTCGGACAAAGCCGAACTATTCCATAAAATGCTCGGACGGCTAGCACCTACACGTTTTTTCACCTGATGCATCAGCGGACTATCTGCCTGATCCCTCGAACTATCGGTCGAGATATCACTCGGAGCTGGTGTAACTTGTCATGCATCCATAGACTGTCCCCTTGTTCTTGCTGAACTGTGCACCACACCTAGACCTGAGCATTTTACTGGCCGGGCCAAAAAAAAGCCCAGCTATTTTGGACCGAAAAAGTCCCGCCCATGACCATCCCACTGGATAGGTTGGGCCTAATTTTTCAGGCCGTGCCTAGGCGGGCCGCCCGCATATTTTATAAATACCAAAAAACTGTATTACGGGCCGGGCTCGGGCCAAGATTTTTTTTTGGCAGCGAGATCTCTGCCCAGGCCCTGTCCAGTAAGGTTCGTGGGTGGGCTAAAACCCATCGAGCTCAGGCCGAGCCCGCGGGCCGGGCTCATTTTGCTCAGGTATAACCACACCCACGGACTGTCTGCAGGAACACACAGATCCAAAGCCCCAAAAATCCCCTCTTCGGGAATAATCCACCTGACTGTTCGACGGCACACAAGAAGAGCCCGCAAGCACACCACAAATATTTTTTTACTACAACCCTTGATTTACCAAACCAACCACCCTACCCCATGTCTAAACATCTTTGAGGACAACACCAGTCCACTCGGTTTATCAAGCAAACTCTCCATTTTGGATCATGAGATTTATCTGTCTTTATCATCCAACTTCATCAAGTTCCATGAGCAATCTCAATTCCATCAATCCTATCACTCTCTTGCAGGTATATGAGTTGTTTATGATTGTACTTCATGCTAAGGTTGTTTAATCCACTAACATGACCTCACTAAAGTTAGCTCAAGTCATATAAAGTAAAGGATAGCCTAGTCAATTATATATATTACTCAATTGGGTTCGGGACGATTAATCATGCTTAAGTGCCTAGAACCGGTAGAAGTTGACTGTGAGTAGGAACTCACATTCATGCATGTAGCATGGTTCACCGATCTAATCAACCCTAAAACTTGTAAAGGGATATAGTTTGACTTAGTTTATAACTTGCCTAAGGTCAACTCTTAATTTGACTTGAATATGAACTTGATGTGAGACTTCGACTCAACAAGGGGTAAGGTCACTATGAGTGTTGGATCTTGAGTGACGTAGCTTCTGGAGTAGCTAAGGACCGTCCTCTATGATAGTAAGTTGGAATAACCCCCGTACAGACCACATGTAGCGTATGGGAGTGACAAACTGAGTACTTAGTGGTGACTCGCTAATAGCACGGATTCGGCTCAAGGTGTAACACAGGGTAGCTAAGAGAAAGTACCTCGGCTCGTCGTCATACCATAGGCTAGATAGCCACACTAAATAAAGGTTGGAACCTGAGGCAACCTGTATCAAGCATGGATATGGAGGTTCACCCTTGGTCTCCGTAAGGGTACAATTGTATACCTTTGCAGAGATCTTTTCGAAAGCATGAACGTCCTCAGACAAAAACTAGTTGTTCTCACTTCTAGTTTTAGAGTAGTGAGAGCAAGGTGTAACTTATACTTGTGTTGTTTATATGATCAGTTGTGTCTTTGAATGATTCATCTAATAAATAGAAATTGAGCATAGCATAAATTGAGCATAGCATGCCATATTCTAACCTACACCAGACTTTTCACAAATATTTGAAATACCTATTATTTTTCCCTTTGCATCCACCAAACACTATATGATTGAATAAGCCCTCTGAGTACTCATGTTACTGCCGTTAAGCTGCTATAGGTGCTAAAAAATTGGTGATCACTCAAGTCAAGTTTGAGTGAAGTCAATGGACTAGCAGACGATGGCATGGGCGTCCCTGAGAAGGTGTCCTTACTATAATGGCAAGTGACTTCTCGAGAGAACAAAGTATAATTCGGGATAACTAGCCTTATGCCGGATTAACGTAAATGTGAACTTGTATCTAGCTTATTAGTTTTCATCATTATGAATGTAATGTCTTTTTATAATTAATCATGGTGTATAATTTATGAGTTATATAATTTTTTATGGTTGGTTCGTGTCGTGTCTTACTACAACTTGATCCTGCGGTTTAGCTGTGCTAATAGAGATTGTGGATGGCGACTCTAGGTACCTCCTTGCGACCCTCGAATTAGCGCTACTGGTTTGCGACCCTTGTAATTAGTGCTACAGTGGTTGAGTGCTTCAACATCTCCATGTTGTACAATGACTACTGCTCAACCAAGGCGCAAGGGCACTGTGGGTGAAGTCCATCGCATCGGTTGGCTTCAACATCTCCAAGTAGACGGCAAAGTGCAATGAGCCCTACACAAACACTCGTGAGTGAGAAGGCGTAAAAGAAGCGGCACTGTGGCTAATGGAAGCACAAATAGGAAGGCATAAAAATAATATGGCAGAAATTTTGCTCTTTAATATTAAAAATTAGAAGTACAAGTATAGATATAGAGCCCAAGTTATTAGGACCGGACCGGAGATCGAACCGGCGAGGCTGTCGGTTCACTGGTCCAACCGTTTAGAACCGGTTGAACCGCCGGTTCAATTGTTTTGGACCGTTGAATCAAACCGCCGAAATATAATGAACCGATGGAGTGATATAATTAATAATTTATAGATGGTAAACAACACAAATTAATTGTTCAACCATAAGATTCATACATGCAAATTAATTCAAAACATCAAGTGTGAGAATAATCTCATTGTGATAATTCAAAACAGAATAAATAGAATAGTAATTGAAATATTCACAAATACAAATGCAGAACAATCTCAAATGCTAAATATAAGTGCACCACAAGCTCGTTGTGGTAATCAAAATAGATATATTATTTGTCTAATTTGGAGTAGAGAATATGAAAATTTGAAATTTATATATTATACATATTATTTAATATATGTATTATATATTTAATTTGGTGACGTCACAGCCACCAAAATTCAAACGGGACACACATCCTCTCCAAAGCGTGATGCGTGAACACGCGGCAAGAATAACCAAAGGGGGGCGCGTCAACGCATCACAAAGAAGAAGGCGGAAGCACGGGGAAATAGGAAGGCATGACTAAAATAATATGGCGAAATTTTGCTCTTTAATATTAAAATTAAGAAGTACGGTCTTATAGCGGTCCAATAGAGCTATAGTCCGAATATTATAGAGCTATAGATATATTTAGATAGATACATATATATATATATATGTATATAAATTGATATAGATATAAATAGATATGGATGTATAAATATATATTATTTTTATTAAAATCAATGTCGGCTTCTTGAGCTTCTCTGGATTAATCTCTCTACTAGTTGTGGCGAGCTCAAGTTTTGGGGCTAAAAATTTGACGGCGTTCAAATAGCACATCGCGCTTTGTCTGAACTGGTCTCCCCTAGGCTCGCAGACTTCGTGGTCGCGGGAGTAGCAAACGCCTAGCCCGCACCGGGCGAGGCGGCACGCATGACGCGCTTTTGATGCACCCGAGCTGGGCTGCTCCATCCGCCACGCGATCCAGCCCAGCTGTCGTCAGCTGCGCGGCGCACCGCAGTGGCAGCGCCGCGCGGGTGGCGGCGGCTCAATACCCTGACCAAAAACCCTAGCGCCGTCTGCGCGCCCACCCCCGTCCCCGCGCATCCTCCTATATAAACTCAAACACGTCCCGCCCGGCACCGCGCCGGAGGCAGAGCAGAGCACGCCGTCGCGACTCCCTCGGCTCCCTCACTCACTCGCCTGTGATTCCGAGAGGACAGAGAAATGCCGCGCGCCGCCGTCACCAAGCTACTCTCGCTCAGGTGGCCAGCATTCCTCCGACGTCCCCTGTCTGTAGTTGCCTCTGTTTGCTAACGCCTGCTCTGTGCTCTGTTGTTTGCATTCCTTATGTCGCAGCCGGAGGAGGGGCTACGCGGCCGCAGCGGAGGTGCGCGCGCCGGCGGGGGCAATGGCAGCGAGAGCACCGGGCGCCGGGGGTGCCGCTGACGGCGCGGCGTCGTCCAAGGAGGTGTTCTGGATGAGGGATCCCCAGACGGGGTGCTGGGTCCCCGAGGACCGCTTTGCCGACGTCGACGCGGCCGAGCTCCGCTTGCGCCTGCTCGCCAGGAAGGACTAGGGACTAGGGACGGAGCGACTTGGCGTCGCATCTAATCTATTGATGAACACCTTGATTGGACGGAGAATTCAAACTGACTAGTATCCTACGTTCGCTAGGACTCGAGTAGCGAGTCTCACCAGTTCAAATCAGTGAAATGTCAAGCAAATTACTCTGTTAGGGAAAAAAAACTCTGCTTTTGCTACTCCCCGAGGTTCCAGTTTCTCTTCCAGTGAAAAAGATATTGTTTGTCGTCTTCGTTAGTTCGTCTTCTTCTCCATATTATAAGAAGAAATGTGTGCTGTTTCGACTCCGAACCTGTAGGTGGCGTTTAGTTGGGTTGCTTGCGCTCGGGAGGATTCAATTTAGAGGAGAATTAATCATACGTTCTTGCGATGGAACACATGTAAGCTAGGTCCAGGTTTCATGGCTACAAGTTGCGAAAGGATCATGCCTAACAACGTGCAAACTGTTAGGATTGGACTTAGGAATCTATAAACTGGAGATGGCTTTGATGCTGTGGAGCTCTGGACTTTATCTCCCTTGGATCGGGCTTCCCAGGGGCTTCACCGCGCGCAGCATTTCCTTGGCGGCCCCGTTTTCCGGCTGGACCGCCGCGGAGGACGCCCCCTTCTGATCCGAGATCGCCGACGCCAGCGCGATGGGCATCAGGCACAGGCCCTTGCTCTGCAGGTACTGCATCGCCGTCGTCATGTTGGTCTCCATCAGCTGCGCCACCTCGTGCTCGAACGCCGCGCCGTCCCGGGCCTCAGACGACGACAGGCTGCCTCGGCCTGCCCGCTGCCTGCCTGAGCCTGAGCCTGACCTCGGGGACAGGAGAAGGCCACCGGAGCTCTGCATTGCCAGCAGCAGCCCAGTCACAAGAAGCACGCACAATGTATTCTGAGTTCATTCAGGCTCGCGTGATGTGATTTACCTTGGTCTGGGACTCCGTCAGGAGCGGGACGATGGCTTCCGTCGCGCCCAGTCTGCTCACGCTGAGAACCTTCAATCAAAGAATACAGATCAGCAGATGAGAGGATGGTAAGCCAGACAGCATGGAACAGAGGAATGGTGGTGGTGGTGAGCGAACCTTCACTTGCAGCTGGAGAAATTTGACGTATTCGATGATCTCTTCAAGCATGGATGCCTTGTCAGTCTGCACAGGATAAACGCAGGTTTCAGAAACTGATGTACTACAGTCGACTGTTCTTTGACAAGAAATAGTCGAAGAGGATGCAATCGAGTACCCTGTTGGAGTTTGGAACGAGCTCCTGTAAGTTCTTCATCCTGTCAGAGATCTTCTCCCTTCGGAGCTGCGAGATACATGGCCACGTTCAGAACTCAGTTTCTGGATGGATCGGTTAAAATTCAGAGTTTCAGACAAAGGAAAAAAAAGGCCTCACTCACCCTCTCTGCTATGCTGTGCGGATCAGTTGCCTGGCCTCGGCGAGCTCTGACGCGTGGCTTCGGAGCTCCATTCCCAGCAGCCCCATTGCCATTTGCCACCTCTGGTCGAGTCATGAACGGCGGCGCATTCAGTGCAATTTTGCCACTGCTGACTTCGCTAGACTGTACATGTGGAGGAGCAGAGCAGGATCGATTCTCAAACAAACTTTGGCACCAAAAGTATACGTACTAAACAGCAATCAACAGAGACGAGAACGACAGAAAACCTGTTCAGGATTATGCGTCGCTCCTGTTGCATTAAACGACGAGAGCTGCTGCCCAGAGAGGTTCAGGTGATGCAGACCGCTGAATTCCTGCAGAGTCGCCATCAGGTTAGGCGAACAAACGCGTCATGGTACACTCTCAGACTGTGCCAACATCGTCAGCTTACTGTGCAACTTTATTTGATGCCTCTAGATGGTGGTACTATAGTAGGAGTACACCATGCTTCCATTCTGTTATTACAGATGGAAGATGGGCGAGAAAAAAAGACAAACAGAAGAAAGCAGGCATCTCATTCTGACCTTTTGACTCAGCTGCAGATCGCCAAAGTTTGTACTAGTATTCAGATGCTGTCCAAGACCAGGAGTGAAAGAGAGCATCTTTGCAGTGTTGAACTCGACATCATCCTGCAAGCATAATAAAACATGCGAAATCACGAGCATATTGATGCGAGAACACAATTAGGTCTTGTTTGGATGCGCATGTATTTATCTCAATCCACTTGTGTAGAAGTGGATTGGAGTGGAATTAAACTAAGTTCCATTCAAATTCACTCCAACACATGTGGATTGAAGTGGATACACATGCATCCATTTAAGCGTAAAATTTCGAGATCACTTACATGTAGCTGCATTGGTGCAGAGGGCATATTGCCTAGCTGTGGATACGTCTTCCCATCACACAGGAGATCGTTGTTGCTAACTGCACTGAAACCGAAGCTCTTCGAGGTTTCTTCCCCAACCAAGGACGAAATCTGTGAAAACGTGGAAGGCCACGCGGGCTGCTCTTCCATGAGGAACCGCGGCAGGCCGGACTGCTCGCTCCCGCTGCTGTCGTTGGAGCTGCAAACCACAGGCGCGCTGTCGGCGAGCGATATCGCGCAGGGCGTGCTCAGAACCGAGTCCGCTTCGAAGTTGAGGCCCTGGGCCACGTCGTCCGGCAGGTGCGCGCTCAGGAACTGCTCGTGCAGCTCCACGGGCGACACGATCTCTTTCGCGCTGACGTTCAAGAGCGCTGTGGAGGAGCCGGTCTGGAGGTGAAACTGATCTGGTGCAGCAGCTGCAGCTCCCAGGTACGTCCCTGCAGGGTCGGCGAGGGAAGAAGCGCTGCCTGGCCAGGATGAGCCGATGAACATGGTGTCCTGTGGCCATGCCGGTTCCGGAACGAAGGGATCCACGAAACCGCCCATCTTGCTTGCTTGTGGGATGCCTGAAAAAAATTATGGTCGTGGAACAGAGTTTGAAGGTTCAGAAATTCAGATGCATGCAGACATGCAGTGAGATAACAGTGGCCCTTGTCAGTGAAGTGAGGAGAGGAAGGCAGAAGGCGAATCATGCAGGTAGCAGCCACTTCATCAAGACCAGTGACCACCTCTACAACGGATAAAGCAGGGCCGACTATGTTTCAATTTCAAACTTGAGATCCAGAACATGATGCTATAAGAAAAACACCCAAATGTTTGCAATCAACTGCTACGGAACATGTGGCCTAATATGGTCAACCAGCGCATCGGGACTAAAGAAAAGCTGAAAACTTTGCCGTTTTTCTCTGGTTATTATATCCGACTGACAACTGCATTTAGAAATGGATGGTCTCCCTTCCCCTCCCTGAGAAGAATCTCTGAAACGTGAGATCCCCATTATAATCTTTGTAATAACTCAAACCGTTTGCATCTGAACAAACTGCTACATAAAAGAAAATGACGGAATTCAGGAGTTGTCACAACCGGACCTAGTGCCACTAGCCCGCGCCTCCCCACCCCCCCCCCAAAGTCTGCCACAAAATTTTGTATATTCAGATCAAAATATAGGATGGCTTCGAATATACTAGAATAGAAGCTATCACTCAGGGAGCACGAGTCCATCTCATCGAAGCGACACCTTATTTTAGTGATGAAAAAACATTGTAATTAAGATTTATCCGAGGTTCCGGCACTATTACGAAGAACAAGAACAACAAAGTGATGATGCATTTTCACCAGACTAGAGGGAACCAAAGCACCGATCCTGCCCGAAAAACATCCGCGCGAGAGGAAACGACGGAATCACACTCACTCGCTCAATCAGTGCAAAGAGAAACAGAGTCGAGAAAGCAGGGCACCACCCACACCCAGCTGCCGCGCGCGCACAAACAAAACATCTCGGCGTCGCCTCTCGAAGCAACTCGATCCACAGCACAGAATACACAGCGCAATTCGGAAAGAAACCAGCGGCGGCGGCGGCGGCGGCGGTCGCCCAACTGATGGCCGCCGGAGAGAAAGAAGAGAGGGCGAGATCAAAGAGCGGGGAGAGGAGGAGGAGGGAGCTCACCAGTTGACGGAGATGAGGGGTAACCGCTTCAGCTCCCGGTCCTCCGCTTTCGGCTGCTGGGGATCGGAAGACGGGGAGGTGCGGTTTATTTCTTGTGCCTGCGTGTGTGTATCTTTGTGTGCGTCAGTAGTACGTGCCTTCACTTTGCGTGACAAGTGTGGGCAGCACAAGCGGGCGGCAGGTGGTGGTTATATACTCGCCGTCTCGCCCCGCCCAGGATGTTCCCAGCGTGTTTTTCTAAAAAAAAAAACTAGATATATGCCCGTGGGTTGAACGAGGTAACGAATTTATTTCTATATGTACAACGATGTATGTGTCTTATGGTTTAAATGAACATATTAATAAGTTTTTATCCATGTCTATGACGATCCACATGGTCTGTGGTTTTGACGAACATGTTAAGAAATATACAAATTTGATTACATAAAGCATATTTTTTGATCTTTATGACCTATATCGATTTGGTTTATAGAAACCTAATAAAATTGGTTTCATTTTTAAATTATTATTTTTGTGTTTTATTATTTTACATTTTCAAAAATTAATAAAAATCTAATTAATACTTGTGCATTTGAACCCTAAACTATTTCTAAATTCTCCAGATTTTCCTTCTTCAATGTGGACGTGGTAGACTAATGTGCCACGTTGTTACCTGCGGGCATCAAGCGAATCACCACGCAACGGACTCGTATGTTACGTGCAACCAGGAGGTCCGTCCGTTCTTCCCACGGCACGTCGTTCCTTCGTTCTTGCTCTTGCAGGAGGGCGAGCGGGGTGTAGACGCGCGGCCACACACGCATGAGGCGAGCAGGGCGCAGACGCGCGAGCACACACGCACGGGCATGCGCTAACGGGCGAGTGGGGCCAGCGTTTACAGGTGCCCACCGCCGCTGGCACAGGCTGGAGCTAGGGCGCCCACGTGCGGGTGAAGCGGAGCACATGGCGAGCACGTCGTAGAACGCGGCGAGTGCCTCGGCCGCCGCCAGCACATACCGGCATCGCGTCGCGCGCGTCCATGGCAAGACGCGTGCTCCCGCGTAC